AGCCGGAGTTAAACCACGACATTGAACCTAGAGTTCAATTTCCCCTAATCATAAGGACCAGCTAATTTTCACCAAAAAGTTGGCACATGCAGCGTGAAATCTATTAGCAAACATTTTTATAGCTGTGAAGATAGAAGTGGCTCCCTCTGGTGGAAAGCATTACTTGTAGCATTTATTTAAAGTAAAAAAATCATCCATGTAATTACAGATGTGTCAACTTACTACCTCTGGGAGCTTCTAAGGTTTCAAAATATTTTTTTGAGAGTAAGAACATTTAATTATTTAAAAGTAATAGAAAAGAGTCAAAACACTACCTAATTCTGCTATCACAACAAATTAACTTGATAAGTGATTTTTCTAAACAATGGAGAAGCAGCCTGTTACTATTTCACCAAAGCATTTGGTAACAGTGACATGGGAAATTATCCAACTGATGGATGCTACTAGAGAAGATCCTTAGGCATCATTTTTAGGAGAGACTTTATTTACCTTATTCATTTACGATGTTAAGTCAGAACACGATCATGAAAACTACTCAAAAGCTGAGAGTTACTACTACTACAAAGGATGATACTAAAAAGACCTAGTTCACACTGAGGACACAACTGACAAAAGGAAAAACAAACTGCACCACACATACTGAGAAGTCACATTTAAGGACTACATTTTTGTTATAAATTTAGGACTCGGCAGGAAAAATTGAGATCTGAGTTTATTATCTGCTCAAGTGATGACTAGGATACTGTTCAGTACAGCCCTAAAAAACCATAGTAATATAGCTAAGGAAGTTAGTGCTATTGCAAAAATCACTGCTACAAAAACAGCTGGAATACTTCATGACTATACCAACTGTTTTGAAAGAAAAATTAAACAGGTGCCAAAAGAGCTTCAGAAATTGTTAACATCTCTTTGATAGTTTGATTTGTTTAGTCTAACAAAACACAACCTCAAGGGAAAACAATTGTTCTTTTATGAAAGGGAAGATGAAGGATAGAGAAGTTAAATATACAAGTTGCTCTGGAACAAATTTAGCCTGGAAATGAAAAGACAGTTTCTAGCTGTGATGGTAAATATTCTGGAGCAGTCTTACAACGGAATGGAGAGAGTCAATACAGTAATTTTGGAAAACAGCGTGATGCATTAAGACATACATCACCACAACAGCAGACAAAAGACAGAAACATCTAGCAACGTCCTCATCATCCCAACAAGCCTCATCTTAAGTACTAGTGATGACAGTCCTTCCCCTGAACAGCCGAAGTTGTACAAACTCCATTTTGCTTGAGAAATCCAAACCTCACCTTTCCACTTAAAAACAGAAAATAAAAATCTTAGGTCAGGAACCTGCTGCAGAGTTTAATAAAAAGGACAGTTTTGAAAACTGTTCTCCTCAAAGATCAATCCTGCCTTTCCCAGCTTGTAGTGTGTGGTCTTTCCTCCTGTCATTTGGAGAATATATGCATAGACATGGGACTTCTGCAAATGCATCTGACCCACAAGTTAATTTCCATTTCTGGATTCATATGGGCTGGGTTTGGGTTCATTCCAAAAAAGACCTGCAACCTTGAAGGTAAAGCCTTAAACAGTAAGTGCATTAATGAACAGATTTGGAAAAAAACAAATTCTAGTAACAACACTGATTTGTCAGACACAAAATTCAAACGATAGTCTAAAGTACTTCTCTGTGCATCAAAAATTAGTATGTTGTTCCCTCAGTTCCACAGAATTTAACGTACCCTTTACCTCTGAGAGGACAGTTGTGATAGTAACCTATTTTAGCACTTTACCCAAGAAAAAGTTTAAGAAAGTGAAAAACCAAGAAGGTCAGAGATGAAAGAAAAGAAAGGAAATTACCTGGAGTGATTAAGTAAAATTCTAAGTTTTTCATAAGACTAAGCACAGTAGTACTAGGTTGCTATGAATTAGAAACTTTTAGTCACCACAGTAAACCACAACCTCAGCACTTGGTTCAGTATCTGAAGACTTGAGATTGACCAACAAGATCAGCATAAATTAGGTCGACTTGACATCAGTATCTTAATCATGAAAATTATCTTGTGTTTCCATATAATGAACTACTCTAGGTTTTTAAACAAACTCAAGAAACCATTTGATTCAATTACCTGCCAAAAGACTTTGGAAATTGCTTTTGCTTATATCAGGAAGCATTTTCAAGTTCAGAGACAGAACACCTCAAAGATCATAAAGAGCACCCAAAGACAAAAATGCATTCCATTTCTCAAATATCATGACATAAAATGTGAATAACACATGATTTTTTTAATTAAGATAAATTGCTATGCCTTCCCTGTAAATGACTAATGTCTGAAGTTTTAGAACACCAAAATCATATATAGACATCAGTTTAAACACCAGATAAACAATGAACATGTGTCTTCAGCATACAAATACTGGTTTTGCTTAAGTCTTCCACATTAATCAAGCTATGAGTCACTTCTAATGGACTGGATGCCAGTTGACCCAGAAGTACAAGTCAATAGATAAAAATTTACTCAGAAAGAAATGGAGAGCTGGGAAACAGTGCCTTCTTAATCTGAAACAACTAGATCCCTCCCTCTTCTCCAGCAAAGTTATCCATCTAAACGGCTAGGATCTTAGCTTCAAGGGATGTCCTCGTCTCACCCAGAAAGCTTGCCTAAATTTACAATTCACAGAAACACAGAACAGTTGTGGTTGTCAGGGACCTCCAAGAGTTCATCTGGTCCAACACCCCTGCTCAAGCAGAGCCACCTTGAGCTGGTGGCCCAGGGCCATGTGCAGACAACTTCAGAACATCCCCAAGGACTGAGACTCCACAGCCTCTCTGGGCAACCTGTGCCAACTGCTTCCTTATGTTGACAGCACCTCTTCCATTTCAGTTTGTACCCACTGCCTGTCACTATCATTCATATAAATGAATTGAATAATGTACTTAAGAACACAGATGCACAAAGGAAAAAAAAAGCAAAGTACAATTTTTAATGTTAGTTTTCAGCTTCTGTACTATGCTGGACACAGAACAGATGTAAAATGTATGCTTTTAGTGCAAAAAGCACACAAATACAAAATGCTGTGTCTACTAAAGGTTGCTTCGATAATGGCTATGAATTCTCAAATTCTTCACACAGTTTAACTTGAAAACCTCTAAAGGAGTTTTTAATTAAACTTATTTAGATTCTTCTGTTGTGGACTTTGACTTCCCTTCTTCTTCCCCTGCCAGCACCCAGGCTCATTGTTAGTCAGGTTCATTAAAAAAGCAAACAAATAAAATTAGTATTCATAAAATAAGAGTAAAAAATAAAGAGTGAAATAAAATAAACTGTACCTTTATTCCTGGACAGTGAGCAAAAAAAGCTTCTGGACTTTGGGAGTGGTATAGTGCACCATGACCCACACAACCCCAGGGGGCTCTGATGGTGAGGTTTCCACAATTAAACAGATCTCCAGAGCGGTAACGATATTTTGCTGCTTCATTAACTATCTGGGAAGATTGATACAGAAGAGCAACATTCAGTCCAATACCTTTAGTTATGTGTCATTAAGCCTCTACGATACATAAGATGTAACTACATCATCTGCACCATGTATTGGATTCAGAGGACCAAATTAGAAGCAAAGGACTCCTGTAAGTCAGTGGAAAGGCAAATGTTTTCCAAGGCAAATGAGGCAATAATTCAGCGTGATCCAGTCAGATGCCTGGGCCTCGGCATATAGTTAGAAGCCATATAGTCCAGTTGTTTCCCCAGCCCCGTACTGTCAATCATCCCAGTTCAAATCTGTACTTTGTCCTACACATGGCCGGCTGCAGCAGGAAAGAGAAGTGAGATGGTGTTGGGAAGACACAGCTGAGGAATTTAAGGCTGCTGAAGCCAAACATAGCCACAAACCAAAAATAAAAACAAACGAAGAGACATTTGCTTCAAATCACATCTTTAATTTCCATTATTTAATGATCCTTTAAACTGGCCTTGGTACTTTCCTGTTTACTTAAAGCATGCATAAATATTAGTAATACAGCTGTGGATATATTTGCAAAAATTACATATTCAAACCAAGTATTAATGCTAACAGAAGAGCAATTTAAACAGTCACAAGGTTTCTTTTTACTTCTCTCAAATTTATTAGTACTAACCTGATCAAATGCTGGAAAAATGTAATCTGCAAACTGAATTTCTGCAATGGCTGTAGCACCTGCGACAGCAACTCCAATACCAAAGCCAACAATTCCTTGTTCACACAAGGGGGTGTTGAAAACTCTATCTTTACCTATTTAAAAAAAAAAGTTCCTTTAGCACACCAGCTCAAAGCAGACAACTCAGGCCCAGAAATATTCAAGTTATAAACAAATCACCTACAAATAAGCATATTGCTCTTTAGATTGGCTTTTTTAGGTGTAGCAATAATACACATCCATTATGGGTAAAGATGCTTCCACTTTAACAGCTCAGAAGACGACAAGGAGAACCAAAATGCAAGATAAGAACAGTTTCTGTAACTTAAAAAATTCTTATTATTTTCTTCATGGAAAATAATTTGTTCTGATGTATATGGAGATAAGCACACATACCACTCACACCTATGTGCAAGAAGTCAAGAATACTTAGAGGCATTAAAAACTGTCCATACCCAAATGCAGATGGGGCCTACGAGAGCATCTGCATGGAAGTAAAGTGTCTTTTCCCCCCACAGTGCCTGTGAACAGTACTCAGTCTCACCAGCCTTCTTTCATGAGGTGAACAATTTAGTTTGTCTCCAAGGCAAGAGGAAAAAAAATCTGTTCCTGCTGCTGGAGGTACAAGACTGAAAATCAAACATTTTGAGGTTTTTGTCTTCCTTGTGGGAGTGCAAAAAGGTCATTTTAACCCTGATCTATTTCTATGCCATGGTAATTTCCAATTCCAAATACGCATCACTAACACATGGCTGAAGACAGAATTTTTCAGTTCATGAAATTAAAAACAAGGAGGATGGGGAGGGGATGAAACACCATTTGAACACCCTCTGCAAAGATAGATTTACAATATTTGCCAGTAGTAGTGTGCTCTCTCAGCAGACCAACAGGAGAACCTATTTATGCTACTAAATTTGTGATAGGACAATGAGCAATGGCTTCAAACCGAAAGCAGGTGGATTTAGATTGGATATCAGGAAGAAGTTCTTCCCAGAGAGGGTGGTGAGGCACTGGAACAGGTTGCCCAGAGAAGCTGTGGATGCCCCATCCCTGGAAGTGTTCCAGGCCAGGCTGGATGTGGCTTTGAGCAACCTGGTCTAGCGGAAGGGGTCCCTGCCCATGGCAGGGGGGGTGGAACTAGATGGTCTTTAAGGTCCCTTCCCACCCAAACCATTCCATGATTCTATGAGCTGTACTTTTTTTCATGTCTCCTAGAAGAAAAATAACCACCTCTGCAGGTACTGGGCTCAGAAGTTGTTCACACTGAAAATGGCATAGGAAGTGAGAATGGCAGTAACTTTGTAGTGTTGCCATTTGTTCTCGCTGGGCATTTATTTTACCCGCGTGCTGCTGTAAAGCTACTAGTCTACGAGTTTCTGTTCTTTCTTCACTAGCATGACCAATGTGTCTGGCAACATCACAACATAAAAGCAGCCCCAGTCCTGAAAGATTTTCATTCCAAGTATCAGAAAGATAGAATGCTTTGGGAAACAGAGAACTGAGGAAGGTGTAACTTATTTTTGTCATCCTCATAATTAAGTGATACTCACTTCTGACAGTCATCAATTGTGTCTTGGCTTTACAGCCAAGAATTAACCAAAAAAAAAATCAATTCAAAAAGCTTCACACAGGAATCATCTCCTCCCTTAAGTGCTGACAAAAGGAAAAGGTTTCAGTCACATCAGTACCATGCTTCTCCCATGCAGAAAAAAACTTGGGCTTTCAGAGCTATTTAGTCCCATTTCTACAGAGTAAATAGATCAGTAAACTAATCCATAGGATGGAGAAAGAAATAAGGCCATGGAAGGATGAAAGAACTTCTACAACAAGGAGAACACAGGATTATTTTTGAGTTTAGAGAGAGTGTAGACTGTGAAAACTGTTCTCATTCCTGAAGGATGGTTGTGATCTCAGTTCCCAATCTATACAGCATCCCCTGCTGCGCTCCCTCCTCTGACAGGTATCATGGTCAAGGAAAGAGGAACATAAACCACCTGTGCAAATATGTAGTTGCCCCAGGCCTTACCACCATGTGATAAGGTGGGGAAGGTCTGCTTCAGATGCAACCACAAGACCTGTCCCTGTACCCATATCCATTTGTAACACTATAAACACTTGGCAAATATCTCCTTCCCTCTTTCTTTGACCTAGGGTGCCATGAATTAAACATCTTGTTTCCCTTCTCTTTCACTGATGCATTTAAATCTTTAATTTCAAACAACTCCTCTTCTAATAAACTAAAAATGCTTTAACATTACCAAGACATATTACACGTTCCTTCTTAAAAGTCTATTGGCAGATCAATATATTTCAACTCATTTGCTTACATGCTATTTTGATATAGCAATTCAGCAAAGAAAACATTGAAAAAACAAGACTACAGAAGAGACTGAAGAAAAAAAACAGTTAAGTTCACAGCAAATATAAAAGTATAGCATTATTATACTGTAATCAAAATATTCAATTGGCCTTTTTTTTCTCCTCTATATGAATTTCTATTCTGTTTCTAACACATACCAATTTACTGAATCAGGTAAATGTTTTAAAACTCTACCACATAACCTACATAGATTAATGTCTGAGCAGAATAAAAAAAGACTGTTGAGAAGCACCCAGAAGTCACTTCATACTAAGCTTACCTAACCTTATTCTTTATTAATAGATTTTTCAGAGTACACGAAAATAGCCAAACATATTGGTTCTATAAATAATTTTATATCATCACACAAAAATTGAAAGGTATTTGAACAAACCTGTGAAGTGCGTTTTTAACTAATAAAAACTTCAAAATTAATTCTTTAATATCATTTTGGGGTAGGTGAAAATTTAGAAGCATGAGATCTACCACACTAGTATGCCCCCTTCTGTGATATGAAATATAAAATACATCCTAATAAAACTGCTGAAATACTATTGAGATGCTAAATTAGAGGCGGCCTGCTGCTATCAGTGGACTATGATGAAATAAATGAAGTGAGAATCAATAAAAGCAAACGTAAAATACAACATGACAGCTATAACACGGTCAGCTTGAAGCACCTAATTTGGACTTTCAGAACTAAAGGAATAATCCTGAAGTAGTATGGCTTACAGCAGTAAAGAAAGAGGCAGGAATTGTCATCGAATGAGATTCATTACTCACCAATGGTTTTGATGTTATATTTTAAACAATGATACTGATCTCTTAAAAGCATAACCTAAAACACTTCACTATTCATTAGATGGGAAAACAAGCCCTGGATAGTTTCAAGAGATAGGGCTTTCTTTATAAAATATAGCCCTTTAAGACAAAGATATACACATCATTAGGATAAAAGAAATTTATTCATTTTCCTGAACATGAAAAACTGCGTGGGATGGCTTTAATCACCTATTTTTCTTGATACAATATGAAAATCATTACTAAAACTAAATACAAAATATTTAAACATTAAACATCTAAAGGCATTAAGCCTGAGTATGTTTCACATTTTTTATTTTTCACATTTTTTTTAAATGTGAAAAAGAAGTCAATTTTGAGAAACAGTCATTCACATCATCCTTTGCACATCACCTGAGTCAGGTTGCAGCTGAAGTCTGACTGAAGGAGACAAATAGCCCAGAGACACTTTGTCTTTCCCCCTTTCATTTCTGAATCAATGAGGAAACGTTTCCTAAAACGTACTCTCTTCTCCTATTACTTGCGTCAGCCATGCAGCTCAAAACAAGCCAGCACAAACACCACGAGCTGACTTGTCCCTCCAGGTGATAGTAGTACCTCTGCGTTATCTGAGACCAGACACGTCAGCTTCTGAAGAGCCACATTACGCTGGTGCCCACTTCAATTAACTCTCTGGGCTTTATAAACATCCCTGGTCTCAGCCACTTGAACAGGTTGGTGCCCTTTTTCCAGGTAGCGAGACAAGCAATATGGCAAACAGGGCTATGTGAAAAAAGAATGATTCTTCTCACCTCCCCATCCCAGTAACTCAGGAGGATTAGATGCATGTTAAGCAAGTGCATAAATATACTAGATGTTGCCTACTAAGGTAAATCTGAAAAGATTAAAAACATTAGGAAAGAAGCAGTATGTGTTTACAAACAATTTTTAACCAATTACTTCATCCTCCTCTGATCTATTTTGGCCTAAATAAAAAAAAAAAATCTTCGCAATTTTCAGAACAAAAGGTTAAGTACCCCACAAACATTCAATTCACCACTGACCCTCTGTCTAAGGGCCAATAGCTTTAAGGCAGTCTTACAGTCATCTTCTCACCCTCCAAGAATAAAAAGTTTCATAGCAACCTAACAGAACATGTTTACAGACATATGTAGTCGATTATTGTGCATTAATGTTTTGGCCTGCTTCATCTTTATTTGTTCCAAGCAGTCAGGAAAAAAGTATTTCAGATTTCAGTATCTGCAATGAAACATATTCAGGTCTTCACTTCAAAATGAGATATTCAAACAATATCAAATCTTCTATAAAGTTAACACACCACCCAAAGCTCCAACTCTGAGTAATTCCACATCCCTCTGTAAGAGACTACTTTGGCTGATTTTAGTGGTTTAAGGTACGGTTGGTGACCACAAAGGTGGTGACCCTCAAAGGAGGGTGGTTTGGTTTGTTTCCAAGATAATTCTACATCAGTTGTGTTTAAAAAAGGCATTATAAAGATGTCAGTACTGAATAGTATTGAGAACATACCTGGGCAGCATTTTTTGTGTTCCCATGATTTCATTAACTTCCATTCAAAACATCCATTACAAGTCAAATAGAGGAGTCCAAGAAGCTAAATATATTCTGTCCTCAATTGCAACAATCATGGATGCATGTGGAGAAACGGAGGACCAGAAAGAAAAGGAAGTCCCAGCAGATTAGCTACATATTGGGGACTTCATGTAGAAAATGCAGGTGGAAATGACTGACTTCAAACCAGTCCTGCCTTTAAAGACCTGTCCTAATCCTATAATATCTAGGATTTTTCATAGATGTATATCTACATCCTTCTACTGATTCTATTCCTTAACATAATTTAACACTATTTATCCAGCAGGCAGACTTACTTCATCCCACAATCCCTTTTAAGCCCTGTTTTACAATTGGTGACACTTG